GTTCCTCTGAGTCCACTGCTCACTGCGGAGTCACGGGGGAACAGAGGCAAGGTGGCAGCAGCCAGCTCTGTCTTTTTAAGGTAAAACTCCGCAAGTCAGTGCTGCCTTGTTTTTTAAGGTGCCGGCTGCATGCACAGATTTAATCTTGAGCATGTTTTTAAAGAGGAAATAGCAGCATGAAAGGGTTACCTTGGGCTGACAGCACTAGCCGGTGCCAGCAGAAATACTTCAGGTAACAAAACAGCCAGGAGAATGAAAGCAACACCAGTATGTTTTCCTGCTTTTCACTGCTTTGTTCCCACTTTGTGTGTAACAGCTTTGCAGCCATTTCAAGGTACTGCTGCCGAATGCCATTTTTAGCTTTTGAGGGCCAGCCCTGGGTTGCTTTCTGAGTCTGGCACAAGACTGTGTCTACCTCACCCCAAGCCCTTTCCTGCCACACTCACTCCCCTCAGCACCCCAGGTTTTGATCTCTGGAAGGCAAAACTGCAGTGGCAGTGTCTGATGCCTGCAGAGGGCCCAGGAGACACCCCCATCTCCCATGCCACATCATGCCCTCACTGCTGGCTTGGGCTTTATGCCTCCACTGCCATCAGGCAGTGTCTCTGCACTGTTGATCCTGGTGAGACCCAGTTGGTGCTGCAGTCAAAATGTTTTTGCCCGTTCGTTGCATTTCTGGCTTTTAAAACAAAACCTTGATATGGTCCAGAGGAAGCTGGCAGCCAAATTTGCCTCATACCATTCTGGCTTGAGAAAGCCATCTTCAAACCAATTCCTGAGTCACATTCACAAGCAGGTGTTTAGCAGCAAATCCAGACTGAAAATAACTGCCAAGCAACATTCCTTCTGTCATGACACTGCTATAGGATTTTGCACACCTTGGGAAAAAAATGTGACCTGTGATTGATACTGCACACTCCTCTGATCCCTACCCGGTTGCCTAGCACTGAAGCCAGTGATGCTATACAACACAAGGCGAGCCAACGAGTGCTGGAACAGCTTGCAGAGCACCGAGCTCTTGCCAGATTGATTAGTCCCCCACTGGTTTAAAAAAAATGACAGCATTTAGTGCAAATAGGTGTTATTTTAACCAAGCAAAGTGCATATTTATTTAGTGGCCTCTGTGGTATCAGAGGCACCATGTTTACTTTCCATCTGCTTTCTCTCACCCAAACCTCTTCAGATTCTGGGTGGTTAAAAATGACTGGTGATAATGACATTTATCAACATAATTCCACGAATCATGGAGCTGTGAAAAAAAAAAAAAAAAAAAAAAAAGGCATAAATGAAAAGAGATGACCTGTATTTGCAAAGGATTGTTTGCAGAGACTTTATTTCTTGTGTAACAGCTTGTAAGAGCTGGAAGACAAACAGACTCTGTACTGAACCCCCCATGCTCAGGATGATGGGGAAAGGGGAGCAGGGAATATGAGTTCCATATGTTCCTCTTATTTTGTCTCCAGAAGACTTGCCATTCCTGGCCGTGATTTTTCTTGAAATGTTAATTATAGGCACTAGGGATATCAGCAGTGCTCTTAATAGACTTGCTTAGGTGCTGAAAAAAAATCGCTTGATGAATAAAAAGATGGTTTCAGAAATAGTGATCAGATGCTGCAAGAGCAGAGTGCTTGGAGCAGACGACTGCCCTGCTGCCTGTCCACACTGTGCCCAGCTACGGGTCTGTCTTGCTCCCAGCATGAGTGGTGGGAGCCCCTCGGGAAAAGGAGGCAGCAGGAGCCATTCCAAAGAGCCAGAACATGCATTTTGGTGTTTCAATCTCAAAATCATAAAAGTGGCAAAGCTATGCCAGGCAGAAGCTGGACAGAAGATCCAGAAGCTGGAGAGGTCACAGGAGAGGATTGAGAAGGACCATCAACCGCAGTCTGGCCATGGACACACTGCGCACACTGGAGAGGCAATCTGCTGTCCCCAAGAGCATCCTGTGGGACTTCTCCAACTAGCTATAGATGGACAGGAGGCTCATCGTAAATAAGGGATCTGCGGATCCGTAAATACAGGGATTTCTTCTGTCAGCTTTGTGGGCTGCTTTAACTGTCATTCACATTTCTTTTTTCCTCTCTAGTTCATGGACAACAATCTGCTTGTCCTTGTGGGTACTGAAAGCATCTGCCATCTTCTCAGTAGCAGGACACAGAAATTAAAGGGCACTTACAGGTGTGAAAACCAACTGACAAAGTGCTGCTTCAAGTCCGATAGTGATCGCCTCTGCCAAATTTGAAGGTTTTGCCCAGGTAATATATTCTGGGGAGGAAGAGATTTTCATCTTAAATGTTACCCAAGAGTTGGGCTGGTAGGGCCAAAAGGGATTAAAAAAAAGGTGCTCTAAAGAGGAGCTTTTGATTTTGATTATCTGTCATCAAAAAGTTGCAAATTGCTTTCAGACTGTGAACAATAATATGTTAAAGACCTTATCATTCCTCTTGCATCCCCAGCCTTTCACTGGAGGTCTTGGGTGACCTGGAGCAGGAGACAGCTGTGGGAGCTACCCGTGTCAATATTCCCCTTCTTATTCCCAATGGCTTCGAACTGTGCCAGCTGACAAACGCAAATTATTTAACCTTGGGGACTGCTTTGACGACACGGTGACATACGAAACAGCATTATCAACTTTTATGTATTTAAACAAATTCATCCAGAAGGAAAAAAAAAAACAGAGTTGCAGACCTGGAGTTTCCACGAAACTAGCAGTCATCATGCCATGACAAAACATTTCTAAGCCTAGAAACATCATCTTCTGCATCAGAATTGCCCAAAATATGCATAAATAATTTGTTGGGTCTGCTTTATTTGTCTTTATGCTCAGAATCTTGGACAGCAAAACCACGCATTTCTGGTATTTACATCACATTTTAAATAAGGGATTGCTCATTTACTCTCTGATCTTGTCCCGTACAGGTCGTCTTCTACTCGCATGCCATTTAATACAGATCTCAGAGACAAAGAGCACAAACAGTGAACTCTTTTGTTCTTAGCATCCTCATATTTCTGCGTTACACTAAGTCCTTCCTACCAGAACCTATGTTTTATCAAAAATACCAATAAACTGGTTTGGTAAACTAGCCTGTCAGTCAGTGTGGTATAATCTGCCTGACCCTATCCTAATGATATTTAAGTGTTGGTTTTATTTATTTATTCATTTATTGTCCTTTGTAGGGCCATAATTCTTCTTTGTAACATAAACATTTTCACTGATTTCAGAATAAATTATTATAGTCATTAAAAATAGTAATGGGAGTAATCAATAGGCACTGTGAATCACTCTAAAATAATACAGTGATCAAGATGATTGATTTTCCAGTTACTGAAGCATTTAGCACAAAGACTTCATCACAAAATCAATTGTGGGAGTTTGTTGAGCCTTAGCAGAAGCAGGAGCAGGACTTCCACTGAATATCCCCTCCTGGCTGTTTTGGTATTTCACAGCTCTCTGTGGAGTTTATGCAGAAGGCAGGCACAGGAAGCACCAGTGGGTCCTGGACTCTGCAGCTGGCTGTGGAAGGCTGATGCTGAGCAGCATCCAGAAGGATGCCCAGCTGGTGGTGCACACAGTAGGAGAGGCCAGTGATCTTAAACATGCTACCTGTTTCATCTGACATATTTTGGAGCACTAGCAAGCTCTTGTCAGCCCTCCTAAAGGGTCATATCTGAGCCCTGAACTTTTATTCTTACAGTTGTAGTGAACTGCAATGTTCCCCATCACTATTTTTAAGTGGAGGAGTTGAGGGTCTGCTCTGTGACACTGTGCTCTTGCGCAGGCAAAGAAGACAGAAACACACACAATACTGTTTCCCACACGAGAGATGAGCAAGGGCATCGAGGTACCATCACCTTCTGCGTGCACAAGACCCCGTCAGGGGAGGCTGTGATGAGTGTGAAGGAGCCATGGGACACTGCAGGCACCAAGGAGCAGCAATGCCTGGTCCTGCTGCTGCTGCTGCTGCACACCCCTTGCCTTAACCCCCCTCCCCCCCCCAGGGAAGGGGGAAGGTGTTTGTGGGGTGCCCCTGGGCAGCCCTTGCTGCTGGGACTGCAGGGCAATGTTTACACAGGCTGGCCCTGGGAATTTCTGCAGCTCTTGCTTCTTCCAAACACACTTCATTGCAAACAGAGGTGTTTCATTTTGGTATGGCAACACAACCCACCGTGTCTGGAAGACAGACGGGCCTTACTGTGAAAGCAGGCAGGGCAGGTTTAAGCCACTGTCTGAACACAAACTGCCAACAAAGCTTTTCAGTGTGGATAAGGGTTGCTTTAATATCTTTGGACAAACTTTGTTCTGAGGCTTCTTCTTTGTGGGTTATTTCACCTTCACCTTTTGAACCTTTACAGACTGCTTGCCTCATCTCTCTCATCAAGAGGTCTCTTGGCAGAGAGAAGCAGGCACAGTCTGAAAGTGGCTCTCATATTGCTTTGCCCTAACCTTGAGGGGTTTGATTTAAATCAATAGCTCATGGAGGGACCTTCAAACAAGTTGGTGAACGTTCTTTTGGATGCCTAAGCTCTGTGTGTTCTGAATGTTAATAATCATGTTATTCAAGGACTTGGGTTTAATGCTCTTTTTATTCACAATATAGGCTGATATGAGTTAAAAAGAACAAACGTGCTGCTACATTTTTAATCAGGCTTCAGTTTGAGTGACACATTTTGAAGGCCTGTTTGTGCTAAAGGATAAACAGGCATTTGTAAAGCCAGCTCTTCAAATGGACTAGTGTTCAAATAGGATCTTCAGTTTGAAAAACAAAGAGTAAAAGAGACTCTATCAACACATTCAGATTGGATATTTCTTTTTTCTATTACTATGGGTCTCCTCTTTCCTCAACTAAGAGTTCAGTGACCTGTTTTTTATTCAGGGTCTTAGAGCACAAACATGTCATGTTTCTAATCATACAAACCTCCTCCTTAACTTCATATTTTTCATAAAGAATGAAGATAAACAAAGGCATTCAGACAAAAGAAAACACAACACTTCATGGAAATTGTACATTTTTTAAAGTAATCGTTTTATCTTTCTTTTGGATGACATTGTTTATTGTAAGACATCATTTTATTAAATACACTGTAATACAAGAGACTTTCCATGTCATGTCGAGAGAAGCTGGTCACATGATTCACAAACAAAACTTTTAACACTGATACCTAGGCATCACTTTGAAATCAGCCAAGATGCAATGAAAGTTTTAAAGCAATGACTTGTTATAACAAACTGCAAAACAAGAACCACTAAATATTTGCACAGAGACATCACATTAAAAAAGAAGAAAAGGAAAAAAGAAAGAAGAAAAATAGCTCTACACACCAGGTCACAGTTTGGTGACAATATAGAGATTATTATTTATGTGTAGGTATCTTCCTCTTTATCTCAAGTGACAAAGAGAGAGATATCTATAAATATATACATAAAGTATAGGTGGAGAGCAGGGCTGGGACAAATATTTCATAATTAATTGATTCTCTCTCTATTCAATTAAACAACAATGTTGAATTAAATTACTTTTATATAAAACATTCTTAGCTGCTTTTCTTTAAGTTACAGAAAGATACATATAAGCTGCAAGATATAGGCCTCTGGAAAGTTTTGATTTGATCTCCTTTTTCCTACATATTCCAATCAAATGGCCTCACTACTGGCAGCTTCTATTATCCTTGCCCAAAGTACTCAGTGTTTATAAAATACCAGCCAGTCATCACTCAGAACCTTCTACAAGCAAACAAAAAATCCCCACAGACCTGGTCTAGAATGCATAGACGGTAAAATAATACACCCATCGTTTCCCATTTCTTCTCCTGAGACATATGTTTAAAAGATGGCAAAATAGTCACTTGGTTGCTATTGTGAAATTCACAGTGTTTTCCCTGCAACATGTAGAGGTGTTTTTTTTTTTTTTTTTGATTTTTTTTTTTTTTTGCTTCATATTTGTGATGAATGTAGCACCCCCCCACCCCCCTGCCCAAATAAAGGTGTTTAACTAAGGCTGTTAAAGGACCTCTTGATTCAAAGCAGCAGTGGTTCATCCCAGCCCTGACAACAAGAAAATACAACTTCCTGTGCTATCAAAACCTTAATCTTTGATTAGAAACCCTGATCTGTTCCCCAGTCCCTCCCTGCTCCCCTCCCTCACATTTTATAGCAGTATTTGAGTATTTGAAATTCCCTTACAGGCTGCAACAACCCAGACATAGTCTTGTTCTAACACATATACAAGATACCTTACTCATCCAGTGACCTTATCATTTTATTGGGTTATTTTGTTTCTTTGAAAAATATTTTGTAAAGTCCACATCAACCACAACAAAAACTGTGTCTCAGAAAGGTGGGGAGGATACACAAGAAGGAGGGGAGAGAGAAAGAGTGAAAGGGTGAGGAAGGAAAAAAGGAAAAAGGGGAAATGAAAGATAAATCAAGGCAGGACAGAAGAAGGAAAGAAAAGAAGAGAAGGAATAAAAAAAAAAGTGAGCAAGAAATAGAGAGGAAAGACAAAAAAGAAAGAGAACAAGGCGGAGCAGAAAGAAGGAGAAAAACGGGCATTTGCTTTATAAACTGTAGACAATATATATTGGTTTACAAATCAAAATGAAGTCTTTTAAGAAAGGGTACACTCCATCATGCATCACGGGGTGCTGTTGCTCTACAAGTATCTGTTCTTCACGACCACTTCTGAGTTCTGCAGATCTACTGAGAGTGAAGGACAGAACGTGGCGATTGCTGCTACTATTACTGCCGAATTTTGGCGTTCTTGATGTCCTACAAGTCGTGTTGCAGTCTGAATAGTCCAGCTCATTCTTGGAATTATTTCATTACTGCAGACAAGTATAAAATGCTAATGGAGCTGCACTGTTATTTTAGGACAATAAAACAACAATAGCACAAACCCAGAAATGACAGTCAAACTCTGCTTTTGGAGCTTAGGAGCTTATCTGTTCATTTCCTCATGAGAAATAAACAAGTGAGATGGGAATGGAAGAGATGTTTTTATGCAATCGTTTGGGGAAAAAAATGTGCTTGTTGTTATATCTCTGGCATTCTAGCACCGCCTCTGCTGCACACCAGTTAAAAAGTTGAATCTTACAAACATAGAAAAAGAAATATCAAAAGAAAAAAATTATTTTGGTTACTCAGCAGACTTTATCAATTTATTAATAGCACTCTAATTATCATTTGTAATAACGTAGGTGTATGTAAATTTATACATATACACACAGCCCATACATAATGTGCATGCATGTCTGCACATATATAAATAAAATACAACAGACATAGGCATACATGTATATGCTATGTGTGTGTATATATATATGCCATATGCAAACACACATATATAATATATATTATATATATGATCAGTTCATAGCACAGTCCAGAGAGACTTTTTAAATGAGCCTGATTGTCATATTTACTCAGTGTACACAATTTAGCGGACAGTGCAAGCATGATGAATATGCACATAAACTCACCCTTCATTGTGATTTGAGCATATTTCTTCCATCTCTCTGCTCATTCTGCTACACTTAAGCACCTTTTCATGAACAAATGCAAAATACATATAGCTACAGTTTATAGCTTGTCTACTCTGATTATACATTTTATGCACTATCAAGAACATTAATGATATAGGTCAAGGTTATCCATACTGGTGGCTCTGTAGAACATTTGGTCCTTTAGAAGTTTAACTTACTGCTATGTTATTGCACAATGCATTGTAACTATTCATTCTCTGAAATTATTCTAGTAGTCTCACAAGTAAATCAAAAAGAAGATGCCGCTAACTACAACTTTAAAGTTTTGTGGGTTTGTTGTGTTTGTTGTTGTTGTTGTTGTTGTTGTTGTTGGTTGGTTGTTTGTTTTGTTGGTGGTGCTTTTGTTTGGTTTGATTTGGTTGTTGGGTTCTTTTTTTTGTTCTTTTTTTTTTTTTTTTTGGTATACATTCTTTCAGTGTTTGGAAAACCCACCTGTTTGCTTTCAGGCTTGAGCCTGCTTTCCAATAGAAGCATCTCAGATGCCATTTTCTTAAGCTCATAAGAAACTAAGACAGAATACAGCAGGCAGAAACTCAGCACCTCCCCCTCCACCACCTGCAGCCTTCTCCCACTGCACAGTATCAGTGGACTCTGACACCCTTCTTTTCTACCACTGTTATTTTGAAAATCAGTTCCAAATTTCTTTTAAAAGATGAAACACAGATTCTCACGTGAATGGGTTTCACTGGATGATCAGTCTTTATCTAGCTTTTCATGTGAACTCCAAGACAGTCTAGATAAAATCTTAAGGCCCATTTTGTAGGAATCTTCCTCTGGCTTTTTGTGTGTTTCCAGTTCAGTAGCAATTAAGAAATAACACCTAGTTTCTTAAAGAAATACTGAGTATGGCTTTATAGATACACTGTCATGTTTATTTGTAATGCTGCCTCTTCAATGACATTGAGAAGGGTAAAATTCCATCACTGTCCAGTGAACCGTTTTCTTCTGAAAATGTTCAAAATCTTTATAAGTTAGCTCTAAAAGCTTCTGACGAAAAAAAAACTAAAGCGCCTCAATAAATAATATATGCATGCAAATTATATATTAAATGTGTTATGGGAACACTTACAAAAATAAAATGCTTAATTTATTAAATAAAATATCCCCAATGCAAAAATGAAGGACTATTTTGATCTGGCTCATATCAGTAAGAGATAACAAAAAGAGAAAAAGAAAACAAAGTTGTTTTTTTTTTTAATTTTTTTTTTTTTTGCAGTAACGCCCCCTCACAGAGGGAGGCAAAAGTCTTGAGGAATAGGTAAGGTAGGTTTTCTTTTGTAAGAATTCATATTAAAAATAATCCTAACTCTAAATTTGAAATCCTCAGCTTCTGGTTTGAAAAATAACAGATATGCCCATGCACTTGTCATCAACACAGTGGCCATGCAAATGTACACAAACAATGCCCGTCCAACCAAAAAATAAAGTATTTAAGAAAGACTGGATGTCAGTAATGACAGCACTAGTACCAATACAAACATGGTGCTGAGCTCAGGGTCTTTGCACTCTGAATAGTAAGCCATAACCTCAGAGTTATTTGTTTTCCCCAAGGATCTCACTCTATCCCCGCCACGGCTCAAATATAACCAGTGAACTCCATGCTTTAGATTATTCATGTAGTATCAGCCTATTGTATCTGTAACATTGTAAAGACATTTTAACATAGCTAATGTCTTTCATTATCCCCATTTAATGAAATATAAGTTATACTATTATGAGTTCGCTATGCCTACTAGAGAGTACTACAAGATGAGTGATAGTTTCTGCACAAAGGGCATTTATCGACAGAGACCATGCACAGTTTGCTCGCACGGTTTAAAAAAAAAAAAAGAAAAAGGATTGAGGAAGGAAAAAATATGCTGCTGGTCAAGCAGAGTGTAAGATACACCTGCTCCAGCATCTATAGCTTGTCCTGTCTTATCAAAATCCTTAGTTTCGATGTGTGATCCTGAAATTAATGCTGTACCTAGCTTCAGTCTTTATTAAAAAAGACTAGCTGGAGAACATTTTATACCAGTGGCATGACGATATCCTTCCAGAAGATAAAATAAGGGCATGTGTTTACTTCTCATGTTGTAACATAATCGTGTGCAGTGCAGGCAGCATCTTTTTCCCTTTTGCCGTAGACTTGTATCTGGCAATGAAAGGTACTGGCGAAGTGCCTCCTTGAACAATCCCTTTACTCTTCAGAAAGACTCTCCAGGGAAAGTGCTAAACCTCCTCTTGCCTTCCATCAAATCATTTCAATGTTTTTAGTGGGGTTTGATGCCATCTGATCCCATAGTTTCTCCAGATAGTGGATCACACAACACTGTCTTGTTTCCATCTGGCTTTATCTCCGCAAGGAATACTCTTTATGTAGAGAATACTAGTCTTCTTTTTCCACCCACGTTCTGAAGCAAAAAAATTGAGGTGAATCCATAGAAACTCTCAGTATCTTTACAGCAGGTATCACAAAGTTCGAGTCAAATATATTTTCCCTTTTTTTCATCCACATCAAAGGCATGAATACAACAAGGCATTGTTAGTTGTGGTGAGCAAACTGCAGAGTCTGCTGATATAACAGATCAGGTTTTTAAGGCCTTTGTCTATGCAGAGTTACAATAATGCAGAAGCCAAATTGATTAGAAAGACAGGAGAGAAGAAAAAGATGATAGGAACTGAAAGAGGGAGAGAGAGAAGAGATATGTCTCAGTAATGTCTAAAAAGTCAATACTGTGTCTACGGATGGAGAAGTGCACATTGCTTGCCCTTTGAAAGCTTCTCCGCAACTTTGTCATTAATACTGTCAAAGTTAAGAACACATTTTAATGGAGTTCAGCGGCAGTTGAACACATTCATTCACACAGCCCATAAGAAGAAATGCTAGGAGACTTTAGCCTAAAATATCCAGGTAGACTGGAGATGCCTTGGCCAAGTTCTGGAGGAGGGAATGGATTTCTTTGATGTTGAGCCTCATGTGAGGCTCCCGTTGCCAACAGCCCAGCATCAAGTCATACACTTCCTTGGGGCATGTGCGAGGTCGCTGCAGGACTCGGCCCTGAGTGATGCACTCAATCACCTAAAAGAAATCACAATCAAAGGATCAGCACAGCTCTGCCAACTATATAGGGCTCATCTATGAAAGTGTTAGCTGCTGATAGCCCCAGCAGCCTCACTGGTGGCAGTCAACTGTACAAAGGGTTGCATTTCTAGGTAGATGCATGGCAGCATCTAGAAAAAATCACTGTAAACATGTATCACCAAAGAGCAGTAACTTCACTGATATTAACTTCATGCATGTCACCCCTTCTAGCCTTAAGGAAATGACGGTCAAGAAGCACTCCCATACATTCTCCTTCTGCCTGTCTGCCAACCCCACTTCATCTCAAAAAGAAGCTAAGTTTTCACTTTGCTCACACAGCATTTCAGCACCCCTCCCTCCTTACACCTGTTGAGTGTTGCTGTGGTTAATTTCTGCACAGGGGTTACTTCTGATTCCCTGTGCATTAAGAGATCTCAAAATTCCCTCAGTCTATTCAGGAGTGGTTCAGAACAATCACTTTGCAGAAATGATATGTAGTTGAAATCAGCCAAAAACAGTTCTGGAGTCTGCTAAGCTCCTTTTCATTGCCTCATGGTCCTTCTCGGTAACCAAAACAGACTCTATAAAATACAAAGGAAAATGCTGCATTCTGACCTAGTTCTGCTTGGTCAACTTCCATCCACCTTGTGGAGAAAAGGGTGAAAAGGAAGAAATTAAACCACAATGTTTATGACAATAAATACTTGACGTTGTTTTTTTTTCCTTTACTAAATGAATTTGTTGCTGTCTTTCCTTGATAGAAGCCATACCATCAGTTTCAATGCAAGCCTCTCTTAGGCAATTTGAGAATGTATTATACACACCTCGTTGTTTGAGAGCTGATACCATGGCTGTTTGCCATAGGTAAAGATTTCCCATAATACAACCCCCAGGCTCCAGACATCGCTTTCTGTGGTGAACTTCCTGTACATGATACTCTCTGGAGGCATCCAGCGAATGGGCAGCATGGTGTGACCCCCAACCTGAGAAGAACAAATGAAAGAGTCAGAAATAATTCTTCAAGACCCTCACCAGGTAGAGTATCAAGACGTTAAATTACGCAAATATACAGTTTCTATTTTTCCCATATATTGCCATTTTCTACCCAGAGCTTTTAAGAGCTGGGAAGCTGTGATCCAAGCTCCTCTCCTCAAATGACAATCCCTACTGTGATAGGTTTTTCAGTAGAATCTCCACAGATACTGTTTCTGAAATATGAACTCACCTTTAACATTTACTTGGAACCCTTCACCCAAGGAACTAATATCCTATAAAATTATTAACTAATTCAAGCCTAGCAACCCACTTCAAATTAGGCTAGTTTTACTCTCCATTTTAAGACTCTGGAAACTATAAAAAGATTCATGCAATGAAATCTGCACTGAATATTTTTTTCTACAAAATCAGTGATACCACATGAAATCCACAGTGGTCTGACTGCTTGACACAGTAGAATTAAATTCTTTATGGTTTAATCTCCTTATTGTGATTGAAAACAAACAAACAAAGAAAACCCAACACTGTTTGTCGATAATTTCCGAAGTTAATCATTGCATCAAAATATTTTTTCCCACATTAACAACCCAGTCCTACATAGTTTTACAAAATATTCAGGTTTTTGGATATATTCCCTTGATAACAAAAAAAAAAATTAAGATTGGACTCCCATCTCAAATCAACTCATGTTGAATTCACTATTTTTTCTTACGGAAAGAATGCCATTCTGAAAATCATTTAAAACATTTTTCATTTCCCCTGGAATGCTTTCCTAAAGTCCAGTTACCTAACAATAATTTAAATAAATAAAACAGTTATTTCCAGTTTATAAAAAATTCGTTTTTCCTGATATGTCCCATTCTGACCAGATCACATCAATAAAGAAATCCACTCAAGTACTTTTTAAATAGTACAACTGGCTCAGCTACTGTGATATAGGCATTCTGATTACTTTTACATCAAGACAGCTGTGAATATTTCCAAGGAAGTGAGAAAAAAGGAAAGCTTCTTCAAGGACATCTAACTTTTGATTAATTCTCATTTTCCTGTCTGAAAATGTGTTTAGTTATAAAACCACATTTGCACTTTCAAGATTCTGTCAATTCAAAATATCATTTCTCCTTGTGGGACTTTACATATGTTGTTATAAATAATGCCCTCCTTGTTCTCATGTAAAAACGGCAAATGGAAGGAAGACCCACTTCAAGTTCAGTCAGGGTTCACATTATTTCTAAATCACTCAGAACATCCGTTTCCAGCTATTTGTCAGCAATTCGGTGTTAGTGCAGCATACCAAAAATACAGCTATGGCTTCTAGAGCTCAGTCCTGTCCCATACATCGCCACAAGTCAACTGTCACTACTGATTCCATAAAAGCAGAGTGTCATGCCAAAATTTTCATGGACTTTCACACCTAGTCTATTACAAGGGCACTTCTCCTCCCTCTGTCTGAGATGCCATGCAAGTGAGGGAGGAGTGTTTTTTTGTTTTGTTTTGTTTTGTTTTGTTTTGTTTTTTGAGATATTAGGTGAAAGGCAGGGTTCCCAAGTTTAATTCCTGACTGCACTGTGGATTTGCTTCTGACTTATTACTGGCTGCTCTACAGATTTTAGAGCCCTTCAAAAGGGGATCCAACTCCTACAGCTTTCAGTCTAACTTAAAAACATACATGTCATCAGTCCATTGACAGAGTGGATATGTACTTTTTAGAGATTTTTTCCATCAGGCCAATTTGTCTCTGTGATACAGTTTACCCCTCTGATACACACAATTTTTGTACAGCCATGTTCATTAACGTTTTTAATCATCTTTGACCAAGAAATCACTCAATGATGTGGAGAGTTTGAAATAACTCACAAACCTGCTGAGATGCAAGCAAAGCTTCGGTTTCCCACCTCATCATAAACTAGCTGGCATGGCAACCAAACAGCTCCAAATCACCACTTTTACTCCTGTCTTGAGAGGTATTTCATTAGAAAGTCAGAAAAGTTAGTCCCTTTGAAACAGGCAGTCACATACACACGGCCAAAGGGCAAGTGCCATTAAAAGATGATTAGTGATGAGAGGCTTTTGGTCTCATTAAATATTGAAATGGCTCTTAGATCTGCTCATCATATAGTCTCTACAATTGGTTCTTTTCAGCAATTTCTTTGACTCATTCCTTAAAAATTAATGAAAGCTATAAACAATAAAATAAGTCTCCCTATTTTTTCTTATTTGTCACATCCCACATTAAGAGAATTTTAAAAAGCAATTAAAAATATCACTCTCCAAATCTTTCCCATCATTCCTTGCTACAGAAGCACAGTGTGCTTGTGGTAGAACTCTGTGCTTGGTTTCTAGAGTCATTCAGTACAATAAATACCTCTACAACGATTATGACATATGACCACCAAACGATGGATTCACAATGAAGTGATCTGTAACATCACAGACCTAGCTGCCTCTCTTCACAGTCATAGCAAGACTGACTCATCAGTAGTAATTCTTACCATGAATTCAATTTACAGATATGCACAAAATACAGGGCTCTTTGGTGTTCTTCCCACATCACCTTGCCTGAAGCTGTGTCCATTTCTGTCCCTGAAGGCAAAAGACTTCACTGGGCAGAGTACTGTTTCACTAATAGAAGTCCAGAGGTGTCCCACCTCTATCACTGTCAATGTCTATCATATTAGCCAAAGTTACCTCCAATGCCAGAGTCTTTGTGACAATAATATTTAACCTCTTTGCAAAAATACCAATACTAGTATTAGAAGGGGTGCTTTCTTGCCAGATGGCATTGCAACAAAGAGAGGCATCTTCTGAGCATCACCTGTGGCAGGCTGAGCATCTTCTATCCCTAGTCCAAGAGCACCTTCAACTCAGATTTCAGTTCAGCCACATCAAAAACACAGGTCAGGGCCTGGCCAAAGGCAATTTTTCTACATGCACATTTCTTTTTCTATTAATGATCAGTGGTTACTGAGTCAACAATTACTTGGTTCAGAAAAGCACTAAGGGCTGTCTTAGGTGCATGCTTAAAATGAAGCATGTGCACCACAACCTTCTTGAAGTGAAGCCTGGGGCTTGACATGGCAGTTCTCAGGCTGCCTGAAACAAATTGTCAGTCACTTGTGAGCTTCTTTTGATCTTTATTGGACTGCTGAATCCAAGCATCTACAGCTATGTCATAATAGCAGCAACGAGAGGTAGAGTGCCTTTTTGCTGTTGCTTCCAAACTCTCAGCAAGGCTAAAGGGTGTTTCCCAAGTAGAATCAATGAAGGAAAACATGAGTACACTGACTAAACTTTAAAGGTTCTGGGTGCTTCAAAGGTATACCTTCTGTGTATGCTTTAATAAATGCAAGTATTACATGGCTCTCAGATATCAGCATCCTGCAGGATTCATCCCTGATGTGCATGTTGTAATTGCAGTGCTGCTCGATACATATCATTTTAAAATGCTCATGTGCTAAGCAGACTACCACTGCAGGTGAACAATACCTTTATATTCAATCTAGCTAAAGTTATGGCATGTTTAAAAGGATCCCAGTTTTAACTTAATATGCTATCATTTTAAAATCTTTACTATAGCTATAAAAATGTTGCAAAAACTACCATTTTATGGATACAAAGATATACTTTTTTTACACTCACCTGAAGGCAGCTGCATTACAATAGTTCATTTTTTATTTAGAATTGCACTTCTATGAATCCTTTTTGTGACTTAAGTATTTACTTCTATATGTCAGTGTATGCAAGCAAGCTCTCCCTAGCCCTGCCTTGTATTAAGTTTACTAGTTATGTTTACTAGCAATATAGAATGTAAACCAGAAAGCCTAGTGAATTAGCTTCTGCAATGTGCAAACTATCCACAGGGAGGAGACTACTATGCCAGATCAGTGAGCTGTGATATCGTTCTCCAAAAAAGCACTTAAGGAGAAACTGCCACATTGTTCCATGTATAAGATGCTACACGTTTGAAAACACAACATCATTCCACTTGTCATCACTTTCAGCACTAATCTGTTAATTTAATTTACTACTTTGAAAGGTGCCAAGTAAGCAGATCTTGAACACTGTTTCCATCTAATAACAAACATCAAGCTTCAAGTAGAATCATCATGTCTTAGCCTTGAAGCAGGGCATCTAATGCCAAAGTTAGCTAAAGTTTGATCACTCTCTGGCATTGTATGTTCCACATCTTTCTTTGCAGGCATTAGGAGATTGTGAGGCTTGTCTAATATGGCAGCCTCTCTTTTAAGAAAGAAACTTGGGATGTAGTAGGTAATTCTGTGGAAGCTGATTGCTGTAGCCCAAGAGTTTGCACATGTCTATCTGTCTGACCACCCATCCATCCATGCGATGTAAAGCCAGCTTTCTGGCAATTAATATTATTGCTACAGACATGAGCTCTTGGCTTATCAAGCTAAAGGCAACTGGCCAATGCAACTGCCATATGCCATATGAAAATCTAACTTTCAATACCGTGCTCTGGTCACTGTGTCAACTACCACTGTCCAGCCACCATGGGAACACAAAGCTGTGTTGCCTGACAATTGTGAGCAAATGGATATGCTTACATACAGAGAACAGGAGGGTGTGGGTGGAGGCAGGGAAGCCAACCTACAGAGATGTGGAAGAAACAGACTCTGTGTGTGGCTACGCAAGACCTCCAGGGATGGTGACTCCACCACTTCCCTGGGCAGCCTGTTCCAGTGCCTAACAACCCTCTCAGTAAAGAAATTCTTCCTAATATCCAACCTAAAACTCCCCTGGTGCAACTTTAGCCCATTCCCCCTCGTCCTGTCACCAGGCACATGGGAGAACAGATCAACTCCCACCTCACTACAGCCTCCTTTAACGTACTTATAAAGAGCTATAGAGAGGATCAAGCTACAACTTTTCACCCATTTTTTACCCACTCCTAACAAAGAATGTATCCTCCTGGATACTGAGGGATTACAGCATTTCATGGTACTTTCCACTATTTATGTTTGGGTCT